GGCACACGGTGACACAGAAAAGACTACTAAGAACTCAGAGTTCTGGGTGAGACAGTATCCACTGATGCGCAAAAAAAAATCAAAAGTGTGGCACAGTTTCCTGACAACCAGACTTAGCAAGTTTTTAGTCTGCTAAACATGATCACCAGTGAATTTTGAGTGATACTTTATAATGTTTTAACATTCCATGGAGATTTAAATTGGCTTTTGCTGGTGTGAACGCAATCTAACATTTGTTGAAATATATATAAAACAAAAGGTTGTCTAACATCTCTGAAAGCTTGAAATCATTAGAGACAATAAAGCTGGCATTACATGCCTCGGTGGCTGATTCCCTTCACTGCTGGAGACAGAGGTTGCAAAGCTTTGGCCAACAAGGTGTTGCAGACTGCCCCAGGGAGCCAACAGGGCTTTAGCTTCAATGCAGCCTGCCTACAATGAATTCATAAATAACAAACGCAAACCGTGACTGACTATGCGCAAGTGACTTGTAGCGTAAGCTGTGATTGTTATAAAGAAAACCAATTTTCTCTGAGTAGCTGAAGTGGAACTTTTAGCAGCTTGTTAGGGAATATGATAAATCTCCAATTTCTACCAGAAATATTGTATTCCTATGAAAATTATATATTGCTGTTTTTTTGTAGTATAATAAAACTTCCATTTCACCTAGAGTAATTTTTTTTCCCCAGCGTGTTTATTTATGGCTGGTGTATAAAATCTTCATAAAGAAAGGAAATTGCAATACATAAGAGAAAGGTGCACTTAAACATTGATCATGCAGAATATGGTAAAGAGGTCATATAAATTGAATGAAAAATTGTGACTGATTTACCCCTTTCATTTCCAGAACGTAAATCTGTCTTATCAGGGTCTTGGGGACCCTTACCAACAAAACAACCTTCACCGTATTCTTCGACGACTGATAAGAGTGGAGAGACTATGGCTGGTTGATAACTCATTGAAAGATTTGAGTGCCATTCGATTGCCAAGGTATGTAGGGGATGTGTAATAAGTGGTTAGCAGGCACTGAGGAGTCTCTGAAAAACTGTGGTGAAAAAAAAAAGTTCCCACTACCAACCCAAGCAGAAACCATGAAACCCATTGGCCACAGAAACAGCTGATCATACCCTTCATAATAATTTATTGGTCACATGACTGCTTGCTTTGGAATCCCAGCAAAGTACACACCATATGTTAAAAATTTAGACCCCCCGCCCCCCAAAGATCTAACAGACCCCTGATGTCCCCATAAAAAGGACATGACACCTGCCTACGCTATTATATTGGGGGGAGGGGGGTGTGCTACCTTTGTGAAAGCAATAAAAAGTTAAATAAAACAAAAAAAGTAAAAAAATTTAAATTGTAATAAAAGAAATAAAAATAAGAAAAACATTTAAAAAGGAACCTCTGCGCATACATACAAATGCAAGCACATGTGTAGGGCATGCATGCGTATGTAAACAGCAATTGCACCTCATGTAAGCATACTGTGGACATTGGGAGTAGAAGAGCAATTCTACAGTTATAATTCACAGTTAACTTTTAATTGATAACTTGTAAAGGCTTTTAGCCTGGGTTCACACTTGTGTGGTGTAGCTTTTCGCATGTGATTCAGACAAGGACCGCACCATATTCCTGTACAAATCACACGCAAATTCTGTGCAGTGCGATTTGAGCCATGCATTTTGTATGGCTCAAATCGCACTGCATCTGCACCAAAAAGGTGCAGGACCCTTTTTCTGGTCTGCACTAGAATCGGATCGTATGGGTATTCACACCCATGCGATCCAATTCTGCACATCCCACAGCGTTTTGCGAACCGATTTCGCATGTTAACATACACACCCGCAGCGGTTCGCATGAATGGGGTGCTATTGCGATACGGTGCGGAATTCGCACAGAAAACTCTGCTAATTCCGCACCGCATCAGTGTGAACCCAGGCTTAAAGTGTTGCCAATGGTCAATTTTGGGTACAGAACTTTTTCACATCTCACAGGCACCTACAATTTTAAGGTTTTACTATGTACTTGATGCAACTCCAAATGTTATATTTTACCAAACAAATGTTATTATATTTTGTTTGTATGCACTAAAATGTATTTTTTGTGTAATATTTTTGTAAAAAAATATGCATTTGTAAACAGTTACGCAACAACACGTAACATAAAAAATGCAACTACTACCATTTTATTTTACAGGCCCTCGGGTTCAGCAAATACTATATATAATTATTTGGGGGTTAAAAATAATTTTCTAGCAAAAGTGGTCAAAGAAACAATACTGCAATTGTTGATCTTTCCTTTTGAAAATGCTTGCTTCCTGGCTGTCATGTGATCCATACTTTCTAAGTCACTAACTGGGAATAGGTAGGCAGATCAGGGATACTGATTTCACCCTAACTTTTATCAGAGACTGTAAAGCAGCTAGCATTTTTAGAGAAAAAGTCAGCATTGACAGCCTATGCATTTCTCTCCTGCATTCCTTTGAGCTGAATTTAGAAGACAATCAGGTTTGCTTGCCAAGCATAAAATTACTCTTTCAGTAAACACCCTACATCGCCTTAATTTGCCATCAATATTCAATGTTTTTATAAAATAAAATCTAGTTTGATTAATTTTTAGAATTTCTTTAAATATTTATGGAATTTCCTTGCAGTTATTTATGGCATCAAATATACATTATGTCGCAGTGCAGTTATTAAGCCACGTGAAATGACTAACCAGTGACCAAATTTACGTTGATTTCTAGAATGAGTTTAATTAGTGTCAGTGGAAATAACATACTCTGTACGTACAGAGTACGAAGGATCCTAGAGGATCCATTTCTGATGTGGCTTGCATTTCTTCATGTAAAGACCTAATGAAAATGCTGAGAATAGATAACTTACAGAATTTTAATATTATGTGTTAATGGTTTCATAATATAAATAATTCATCACTGCCTACTCCTTGGTGAAAGTCCTATACAAAACGAGTGACTCAAGGGAGACAAATAGGGAAATAATTTGCGTGTGCTTTTTGTGTGGTCTGCATATACATAGACTCTATGGTGACCATAGACTGTTTTTGCTTATCACAGGTGTAAAGAATTAAACTTAAGCAAAAACCACTTTACAACCTTTAAACAACTGCCAAAGCTTCCTGCAATTCAGCACTTATCACTTGCAGAGAATAATATTGAAGCATTGGGTGGACTTACAGACTTAAAGCATTCCTCACTTGAATCATTGGTTCTGAAGTCAAATCCATGTGAATTTCTGGAAGATTATAGACAACGGTAAGTAACAATTACCTTTAGCTTCATCTCTTCCAAATCATTATAAAAGCATTAATAAAGGCATTAATTAAAGAAGTACAGCCAAAGCTTGTTTGGCTGTACTTCTCCTTTGGATCACAGGAGAGCAGTTCATTCTGTATTCTTGTGACCCATTTTCAGCTGACAGCGGGCTAAAGCTGATATCACAGAGCTGGTCCAGGCTGGGGAAAGATCGTTACCATATGATCGGGATCCACCCAGGAGCCTGGACTGGCACCTAGCTCAGCCTCTCCAGTGAGCATTGGAGGGGCAGAGCAGACAGCGGTGAGTGACAGTCAAGGCTCTCTACTCAGAGCGGCAGGGAGAACTAAGTGATCTGCTGTGTTTGATCGCTCAGTTCTCAGCCTTAGAGCCCACTGGGGACAGATGCAGCATCCAATCAATCCTGCATCTGCTTAGGTAAGTATGATTTTAAAATACAAAATATTCCCATACTTCTCTTTTAAAAATGCCATATATAGGCAGGTGTTAGGCTGCATTATATCCGACAACCTGAAGGTGGGTCTATGCTCAATTTTTCTGGCTAGCAGAAGACTACTGAAAACTAGTTTAACCCCTGTTATGGGCTCAAGCAAACCATCTTATGGAGGATGGCATCTCTTATTGGATGCTGAAATCCCACAAGTTTTGGGTGACTATCTTGACACAGAAGTCCTTAAATAGGATATTCTGTGCCCACAGTGTGGGAGTAGGTTAGGTACAGAGCTCTGCTAGTTAGAAAGAAAGTAAGAGCAGTGCCAGTGATAGGGTGAGGTACCTGACATGGAGGAAAAGAGTAGGTTTTCCTTTACATGTTCCTTCTACCATCTTCCTGGAACAGTTTCCCATTGGCAGCAGGATATCTGCAGGAACTTTTTGGGATCCCAGTGTGACTCAGTAATAACATAGACCCTCCAAGGGAAGTGCTCCTCTGTCATTCTGTGGTCTGTAAGCACATGTTATATTGCAATTAGAAAGTGTCTTGCTGATAAACTTTACTCTTTTTTGCCTGCATAAGTATATGACCTGCAACATATGTAGTGCCGTAATTGTAAACTGGTTCACTTTCTGTGATTATGCAATTTCTACAATACATATAATGTTCAAGTGTCCAAGTGTGTTGACCCCTATCAATTCTAGTTTACACTGCTAGGTCCTGCCTATATATACTGTTTATATATACTCTCACTAGTCACGTTATTAGGTACACCTGTTCAATTGCTTGGTGATACAAATTGCTAATCAGCCAATCACATGGCAGTAACTCAGTGCATTTAGGCATCTAGATGTGGTGAAGAAGGCTTGCTGAATTTCAAACTGAGCATCAGAATGGGGAAAAAAAAAGGATTTAAGGGTCCTAAAGGTCAGGCACTGATGTCGGACGAGAAGGCCTGGCTTGCAGTCTCCGCTCTAATTCAGCCCAAAGGAGTTCTGTTGGGTTAAGGTCAAGACACTGTGCAGGCCAGTCAAGTTCCTCCACCCCAAACTCGCTCATCCAGGTATTTATGGACCTTGCTTTGTGCACTGGTGCGCAGTCATGTTTGAACAGAAAGGGGCCATCCCCAAACTATTCCGCCAAAATTGGGAGCATGAAATTGTCCAAAATGTCTTGGTATGCTGAAGCCTTAAAAGTTCCCTTCATTGGAACTAAGGGGCCAAGCCCAATGCCTGGAAAACAACCCCACACCATAATCCCCCCTCCAACAAACTAGGCACAATACAGTCAGGCCAGTACCGCTCTCCTGGCAACCGCCAAACTCAGACACGTCTATCGGATTGCCAGACAGAGAAGCATGATTCCTCACTCCAGAGAACATGTCTCCACTGCTCTAGAGTCCAGTGGCAGCGTACTTTATACCACTGCATCCCACGCTTTGCATTGCACTTGGTGATGTAAGGCTTGTATGCAGCTGCTCAGCCATGGAAACCCATTCCATGAAGCTCTCTATGCACTGTTGTTGTTCTAATCTGAAGGCCACATGAAGTTTGGAGGCCTTTAGCTATTGACTCTGCAGACAGTTAGCGCCTTCTGTGCACTGTGTGCTTTAGCATGCGCTGACCCCGCACTGTCATTTTATGTGTCCTACCACTTCATAGCTGAGTTGCTGTTGTTCCCAGTTGCTTCCACTTGTTATACCACTAACAGTTGACAGTGGAATATTTAGTAGCAAGGAAAGTTCACGGATGGACTTATTGAACAGGTAGTAACCTGTCATGGTACCACGCTTGAATTCACTGAGATCCTGAGAGCGACCCATTCGGTCACAAATGTTTATAGAAGCAGTCTGCATGCTTAGGTGCTTGATTTTATACACCCGTAGCCATGGAGGTGATTGGAACATCTGAATCCAATGATTTGGAGGGGTGTCCCAATACTTTTGGCAATATAGTGTATCTGCATATAATGTGAACAGTGCACAATCATCCATGGGGCTCCCATCCACTGCTGACATATATCATTCAGAAGGGATGCAGTGAAAGAACTCTTGTGCTGTCTTTTATTTACTTAGAACCACACACGACTAAGGGAACAACTGTTTTAGGTGTTCTTGACATTTCTCAAGTTCACGGGTATGTAGGACATCACTGAATCATTGTTTAAATTGCACAAGACTGGATCCTGGTATATATATATATATATATATATATATATATATATATATATATATATATATATATGCCTCTGTTTTAATTTATTGCCATATTTTATGTGTCTCCTTGTCTTGATATTTCATGTGACCGTTTTACCTAAATGCTGCATGTACACAAATTTAAAACTAAGTGCAGGCAGAAAGAATATACCATTTCATCCACTTATTCATTTGATTCCTGTAATCATATGCATAGTAGATCTCAGACTGGGAGAGGAAGGGGCAACACTGTGAGCCAAGGTGATAGAGTGGGGTTTTAAATATAAACAGTGGAAAATCATTAGGAGACCCTGTCACCAACTTAAAAATGTAGGTAAAAGCACAGAAAAATCAAGTGTTTTTAAATGCTCGTTGATTTTTCATCAAAGAGTCAATTCCTTAGCACAACCCAATACCTCCTTGCATGTAATAGCCCTATCCTCTTCTGGGATTGTCTCACTACTGTCTGTGCTAGCTAAGCTCTTCCACCCCTCCCTTTACCTCCCTACTTAAACTTTTATGTAGATGTTGGAGGAGGAGCAAAAGGAAATACAACTGACTGTGACTTGAATGACAGCTCTGAGTCTGCTGGGGCTGCTGACATCACATCCAAGATGGTGGCACCTAGGAGCAGTCACAGGGCATTTAAATATTTACACAGTGGAGGCTTTTACAGGTAAATACGTGCATAATATACGTTAAATGAACATTATTTCTTATGCAAAGATTTTGGTTGAAATGAATGGCCTGGTGACAGGGTCAGTGGAGCTACTGAGATGAGCACAGCATTGGTACCCATAGAAATCCTCCACTGATTTTAACACAGCACAGTGCACAGCAATTCTAGTGGTTGGTCCAATTCAGTAAAAAGATTGACCAACACTGCTTGAAGTTATTGTTGAAAACTTCCTCCTGGCAGTCAGATGTATTCTGTACACATGGAATATATTCCTGTGCTTGGCCTGAAGTTGAACTTCCCCATTCTGGATGTTGGTGTGTTGGCAGGTGTAGTTTTTACTTCACCCAGCAGGTGGCACCTTGCCACCTCAGTGATGGAGTAGAGTCTTACAGGATTGATGTTCCCCTGTAGCCTCTGTAGATGTCATCAGTGGGTGCAACTGTCCTATTGGTCACTGCAACTCCCAGTGACCTTCTGCAGCCATCTTGCCTGGAGCAGCGCTAATGATCAGCAGTGCCCTGACGCAGGGTAAGGATAGGGGCACCACTGTATGTTTCATCTGCCACCAGTTTCCAGACCTATCTAGAGGAGTTGCTCAGTTTTCTAAAGTGCTGCTTGTGCTGCCACCTTGCCAGTCAGTTGCCCCTCCTGCAGATGCCGCCAAAGTAATGTAGGCCTTGTCTCTGTTTTACCTTGGGGTGCTGAAGATATACTGCTGCATATCTGTGTTCAAGGGCTGCTACCACCCTGTGTTAGCCAATCCAGTTATAGTCCCTAGTGTAATCTGCCATCATCCTTATTGTCCTTTAAACCTGCAACTTACTTAATACAACAGTTCAAACTTGTCTAGACTTTGTGAGGTTTCCTTAACTTGGTTACCATACTCCTGGCCACGACCATAGGTGTTCTGCTGAAAGCAGCAAGTCCGCTTTTTTTTTAGGTATACAGTACGTGGATTGCAGGGGACTATAGTCTGCTGCACTCACTGCCATCTTGTAAATCCAAAGCAGAAAGAGTTTTTATCTATAGTGTGTAAATTATGTATGGGACCTAAAAGTACTCTTAATACTTATGTACAGTATATACATTTAGAAGCATTGTAAATAAAATCAAATACATGTGCACATTTTTTTTTACAGATATCAATGTTTCCTATGCAGAGCCAAATTTTACCATAGCTAACATAAGCCAGAGCCTAAGGCAGCATATAGCCACCCATGTATCAATGTGCTGTCAGTAACACATTTTGGTGCAGTCTGGCTGGAACCTCATTGTTGCTGTACCTCTGAGCAGTTGCTGGTAGAATTGTGTATGTGTAAGGCAGTCAGATGTCACAAAACTGCCCAAGAACTGCAACTCTTTTAGCACGCTGATAGGGAATCTATGCTAGTTTTGTACAATTGTTTTCTTTTTCTATTAAGGTAAGGGCAAAAACAATAACCTTTTTGTTCATTGTTTTTAGTTGGGTAAATAGGAAATGCAGTATTGCACGTAAATATTTTGTAATCTATTATCCAGCCAGCAGGAAGAACTAGTGTTATATAAAACCTGTGGTTTACTGAGCTCAATAGCTGAAATATACTCACAGACAGACTCATCCCTATGGCAGATGTAGGTTCTATAAGACAGATCTAAAAATGTTAGGTCTTGGTGTATAGACTGTAGGTTTCATGTATCAAGATGCAATGACTTGGTGAGTCTGCTCTTGAATCAGCCACTAGGCAACATTAAAAGGTAAAGAAAACAAAACCTCAGCGCTCAGGACTTCCTATTTACCACACAAATCCCCGTGAGATGCTGCTGTGCACAGGTACAAAAGACCAAAAAACTTTTAACAATGGAAACCAGCGCAAACCCACATGGTCAATAACATTACTCAGCTTAAAAAAACATTAATGTGCTGATAAAGATATATATAATGAATTATATATAAATAAATTGATATAAAAAAAATATATATATAAACATTAGAATCATAAGTCCAGTGACAAAAAAAACAAAGTGACGAAAAAAATCCAAAAAAATCCCAGAAAATATATATATATAATTACAGTCCAGTGACAAAATTAAATCAAATTAAATTATAATTTGGTTCTTCCGTGTTACTGATCCCTTCACCATCCACCAGTGCAGAAATCAACATTAGCCGCACTCACCAGATATTGGTGAGTCACACGCCTTTCAGGATTGTTAAGGGCTCCTGGACCCCCTTTACTTTGTGTGAGACCTCCAAGTGCTGTTTCCTCTTATGTCTAGGTACCTCTTCTGCTTACTCCTCTCACCGAATCCCCCAAGGAAAATCAGGAAGAAGAAAAGACCATAGCGTGATACCGTAGTAATTTCTCCTCAAATTAATCTCTCCAGACCACTCACATTCTTTTGCGGGATATAGCCCGCCTTTTATTCAAAACAACAATGATTTTCTTCTAAAATGATCCACTTTTCATGTACACCGATTTTTGTAAGAGACCCCACAGTTTAGTGTACAGCAGGATGGCAGACCTCAGCTAAGACTCATCTACTAGGCTAAGATGGCCCCTTGGAACGCACCGCCGGCGTGCGCTCCACTCACCGGAAATGACGTCAGACGACGGACCAGGCAACCGGAAGTGCGTCAACGCGTTTCGCCCCACCCACAGGGCGTTATCAAGACATGTCTTGATAACGCCCTGTGGGTGGGGCGAAACGCGTTGACGCACTTCCGGTTGCCTGGTCCGTCGTCTGACGTCATTTCCGGTGTGGAGCGCACGCCGGCGGTGCGTTCCAAGGGGCCATCTTAGCCTAGTAGATGAGTCTTAGCTGAGGTCTGCCATCCTGCTGTACACTAAACTGTGGGGTCTCTTACAAAAATCGGTGTACATGAAAAGTGGATCATTTTAGAAGAAAATCATTGTTGTTTTGAATAAAAGGCGGGCTATATCCCGCAAAAGAATGTGAGTGGTCTGGAGAGATTAATTTGAGGAGAAATTACTACGGTATCACGCTATGGTCTTTTCTTCTTCCTGATTTTCCTTGGGGGATTCGGTGAGAGGAGTAAGCAGAAGAGGTACCTAGACATAAGAGGAAACAGCACTTGGAGGTCTCACACAAAGTAAAGGGGGTCCAGGAGCCCTTAACAATCCTGAAAGGCGTGTGACTCACCAATATCTGGTGAGTGCGGCTAATGTTGATTTCTGCACTGGTGGATGGTGAAGGGATCAGTAACACGGAAGAACCAAATTATAATTTAATTTGATTTAATTTTGTCACGGGACTGTAATTATATATATATATATTTTCTGGGATTTTTTTGGATTTTTTTCGTCACTTTGTTTTTTTTGTCACTGGACTTATGATTCTAATGTTTATATATATTTTTTTATATCAATTTATTTATATATAATTCATTATATATATCTTTATCAGCACATTAATGTTTTTTTAAGCTGAGTAATGTTATTGACCATGTGGGTTTGCGCTGGTTTCCATTGTTAAAACATTAAAAGGTAAGATGCATAGTATATGGAAAGAAGAGGATGGCACAGCAATGGTAATATCCAAGCTTACAAATTGTTTATTAAAAATATATTTTTCTATAAAACCAATGCTTTTCAGGGGTTACACCAGAGGTTAGAGTGATTTTTAGTGTATGAAAGCCACTTTACAACTCAAGCATTTTGCAGTTCATGTTTTCTTTTTTTCCTGAAAGTCTCAAGCTCTGATTAAGGCAGTTTCTTGTAACCCCAGAAATGCATTGGGACCAAGTTGGGACCAGCCAGATACTGTGGTTGTGTTATCTGTTTAGCATATCCATAGTGCTTTGGGAGTCCTGTGTCATTTCTCTAAGCTCAGTTTTGGGTATTCATCTTCCCTCTTACCCCATGTCCCCTCTGTCATACAAGCTAGTATATGAAATGTTACCTAAATACATGATCATGTGACACACCAGGTCCCAAGTCTACAATTTTCTTCCATCTTGTGGAGAAAGGTCTTTCTTTGGATGTCCACATCACTAAGTGACATGAACACTTCCTATTGGTTGTCCAGTGGCAGTGTCCTCTGAGTATTGTGACAACATGGAGAAGCAACTGGTCAGTGGTGGTAGACTACAGCGCTGGATCCA